CACCCCCCAGTAGTTCTGAACTGCAGCTATTAGGAGAATCTCTTCCATCCTCGGTAAGAAAAACTATGGAGAAAAAAAAAGTGTTCCTGTACCTCAGAAGGAGGGCATGTCAAATTGTTCAATTCATTTGGTTAAAAAAATTTGGTGGCAATAGATGTCAGTTCAAAGGGAAGCAAAGTTCCCACTGCATCTCAGTTTCTACTTCCAGATACATAGTCCAGCATTTGCTGCTCATATCTTTTTGGGAAGAAAGCCAGCAACAATCTTCATGGATTTGTCATAATAATGTTTTATGACTTTCTTCCCTGTTAACTGGTACCTCTTTATTTATTTATCAATTTTATATGGCTGCCCACCTCACAAAAAGTGACTCTGGGAGGCATACAGCAATTAATTAAAACAATAATTCATAAAAAATAGACATTATTAAAAATACAAAACAGTCATTGTTAAAAAAATAAAAACTGCACGGCACAGGAGGGAAGGAATATCAGCCATGGTGACTGACCCATCGTAAAATTTCACTGGTCCCCTGAGACCCCCAGGCCTGATGACAAAGCCAGGTCTTGAAGGACTTCCTGAACATTAACAGGGGTGGAGCTAATTCACTTCGGGGGGGGAGGAGAATGTTCCATAAGATGGGCACAACGGCAGAGAAGGCCCGCCTACTGGGACCCTCCATGCATAGATCCCTAGCAGGTGGCACCTGCAGTATGCCTTCTCTACCAGACCTGATGGGGTGGGCAGGTATAATTGGGGAGAGGTGGTCTCTCAGATAACCTAGTCCCATGCCATGAAGGGCTTTAAAGGTTAAAACCAGCACCTTGAACTGGACCTGGAAGCAAAGTGGCAACCAATGTAGCTCATGGAGCAGAAGTGTAACATGTGCTGTTCTGGAAGCACACATAACTGTCCACACCACTGCATTCTGCACCAGGTGAAGCTTCCAGATATTCCTCAAGGGCAGCCCCATGTAGAGCACATTATAGTAGCCCAATCGGGAGGTGACTAGGGCATGAGTGACTGTGAGCAGAACCCCCCCCGATCTAGGAATGGGCACAGCTGGCACACAACACGAAGCTGAGCAAAGGCCCTCGTAGCCACAGCTGCCACCTGCTCTTTGAGCAGGAGTCGTGAGTCCAGAAGTCCCCCAGATTGCACACCTGGTCTGTTTGGGGCAGTGCAATCCCATCCAGCACCAAAGATGTCATAGTCCTAAAACCGGCAGGCCTCTGAACCCAAAGGCACTCAGTCTTGCCAGGGTTTAGCTAAAGCTTGTTGTTCCCCATCCAGATCCTCACAGCCTCCAGGCACCAGGATAAGACGTTCACAACATTGCTTAATTCACCAGGGGCAGAGATATATAATTGGGTATCATCAGTGTATTGCTGATACCTCACTCCACAGAGATGGATGAGCATACCCAGCAGCCTCATGTAGATGGTAAACAGGAGAGGAGAGAGAGTACCAAACCCTGCAGCACCCCACACAGTAGGGGCTGAGGGCAGGACCTCTCCTCTCCAATCACCACCAACTGGAATCGATCCTGGAGAAAGGAGGCGAAGCAGCATAACACCACCCACCTCCAATCCTCTGAGCCGATCCAGAAGGATACCATGGTCAATGGCATCAAAAGCCACAGAGAGGTCAAGTAGGGCAAGGATGGATATGTAACCCCCATCCCACCCTCACCAGAGATCATCCAAAAGCATGACCAATGCTGTTTCCATCCCATACCCGGGCCTGAATCCCAACTGAAAAGGATCCAGATGATCTGCTTTTTACAAGGTCCTCTGAAGCTGCTGTGCAACCACCTCCTCAATCACCTTCCCTTAAAAGGGGAGGTTAGGTACTGGACAAAAATTGTCCAGTATAGTGGGGTCCAGCAATGGCTTCTTGGGGCAAACCAAAGCCTCTTTAAGAGGTAAAGGAACAAGCCCCTCACTCAGAGAAGAACAACCACTAGAATCCACTCACACAACACCTACTGAGCCGCTTTAACAAGCCAGGAAGGGTATGGATCTAAAGAGCAGGCAGCTTTGCTCACAGTCCTCAGTCCGCTTCCTCAGGTCCAACAGATTCAAACCATTCCCAGATAACTGGGCAAAACTCCTCCCCAGGCATCTGGACCTGCAAAAAGGCCAGCATCCAACTGCAAGCAAATCTGACTTTGTCCTTCAGATGCTGAACAAATTCCTCCACATACCCCAGCAAGAGGTTCTCCGAGCCCCCCCCCCACACAAGAGGCATTAAACAAAGATGGGGTTGCTCATTCAGCTGAATAATTAGTCATAATTAGGATTCCCTAATGAGCTGGAAAAGAACAGAAGGAACTATAGAGAAAAAAATGAAACTGCCTAACTAAGTTTCAACTACAGTTCTGTAATACTTTAAAATGTCTTTAAAAGCCCAGAAAGGCACCCATGCAAGCAAGTATACTTACAATTGCACTGCTAATTATGCCAAAGCAATATGATGGGAGGGGAACTGTTTCCATTTGCAATACATTACTGTTTTGTGAGCTGCTTTAGGAGACTGGAGATGAGAAATAAATAGTTTAAATTCCCATTCTGCTCATTTATAGAGTATATTTAAACTAGGCACACATTTAACAATACAAAAAGCTTCAAATTATCTGCATCCTGAATTTGACAATTATGGTGGAACTATTTGACCATGTGACATTTGTCAGCATTCGTACAAAAAGATAGAATTTCTAGAAGAAATAAATTTTATTTATCCAGTATATTACTTATAAAATGCTACAACACAAATATTGGATGTGCCTGAACATAAACCATAGTTTAACAAACTATAATGACCAATAAAAATCAAACAAATCACTCTATAATTGCACAAAACATTCAAATTAAATCTGTTTAATTTACCATGTTGTGCAAATCCAGTCCATATAGTTATTTTATATCCCACTGTGTTGTAAAAAACCAGATAACTAATTGGATAAATTATGGTTCAGTTAAGATGATATGTGAACGTAGTCAATATACTGAATAACAGCCCAGACCAGTTTTTGATCATAGCTCACCTTCAGACACATGTATAAAAGGGGAGAATATAACTTTATACGCAATTAAAACAAAAAGTACGACTATATATCTCGATATAAAAAAAGCATCCAGGTTACTTGGGATGAGCACAGAGGGATTCAATTCCCCCAAAGAGGTTTCTTCTTCCACTTCCTCCGGTGCGGTTTGTGGCACCACTGCAAAAGCAAGATCTAAATTTTTACTTCACCGAATAGCACGTGTGCGTCCCCTCAACCCAATTGTTTACAGCCTTGAAGCCTGTACGTATCCAAAAAGGCACCGGGGCATAACCTGAAAGGGTCCGGAGAGGTCTCACGGGCGGTGGAGCTCAGATTACCGAACGGCGACCAGCCCTCCGCACAGACCTTACCGAGAAGCGAAGCGGCGGCCCGGCCTGGCCCCGCTCTGAAAGTCACACAGCAGCCCAGGCCTCTTAAGGGTCCTCAGAAGACGCCAAACCAGCCCCAGCACCAATGATCAACTCCGTTCCCTCCGGCTTCCCCTCCCCTCCCCAGCATCCAAACAACCAGGAACAATGTCACGTCACCACTAGACAGAACCGATAGTTATCATCCTGCCCCGAGCCAAACTCAGACATCTGCTTCCGGGGCATCTCTGGGAAACGCCCTCTTTGAGATAGGAGTGTAATATACAAAAAGGAAGAGGTACGCGTTGCGTTACATTGGCTTCAGCTTCCGAGTAAACCCTTCTGTTCTCCGTAGAAACACATTTCGAACTGGATATAAAACAGGACAGTCTCTGTTTTGTTTGCAGCGTTTTGGAATAATTATGTACTGTTGGTAAGGACAGAAAGTTGAGAAAAAAGTTTTTAGCACATATTCAATGAGTTATTTTTTCTGTGTAAATAGGTTAATGTCGTTTCATTTGTGTATGCTTTTCTCAGAGAATGCAAAAACGGTTTATATCTATCTGCAAAGCAGTGTTTCTCAGTCTCAGCAGCTTCAAGAAAGGAGACTTCAACCCCTAGGCTGGAGAATTCTGAGAGTTGAAGTCTACCTATCTTAAAGTAGCTGAGGTTGGGAAACACTGTCATAAAAATATAACAACGAGGAAAGGAATAAGGGCTATTGAACTCAAGCTCATTTCTGCATAAACGTTTGTTCTGCAAAACTATATGTTTTGGCTCAGATTTGTAGCGATTAAAAAGTCTTTTTAGCACAATTTAAAGCAATATTCAGCTTGCTAAGTTTGGCTTTTTTGTCAGAGAACCGGTGGGTAAAACAAATGATAAATCGACATCGTTTGGAATCCTTACACCAAGAGCTGTATTCAAAAACAGCATAATTATTCATCGCCAGACGAAACAATGCGCGGATGCGGTTCTTGAAAAGCGCCCATACTTTCCCCATCTTTAAAACAAAAGAGGAAGAATTTCAGAAGTTCCGGGAATAATCATCATATTCAAAACTTCCGGGAGAGGGGAAATAATGGGAACCACTTTGCGCATGCGTTCAAGGCTGGACGGTCTGGTGAACGAGTGGTGACGTTTTAGCTGACCCAGCTAGTACTACGAAAGATGATCGTGGCGCGCATGCGCGGTGCATCCAAGCAGGTAAGGATGGATTTTCCCTCGGCTCGCCAAGCTGTGTTGAACGTAATAAAGGGTGTGCGCGCGGGGGATTTGCCCCGTCTGCTACACTGGCTGAGAACATCTAGTAAGCGAAGTTTCTTCAGCTTTTCAATTGCCTACCTTTGCTCCTTTTTTGGAATAGTTAATGCTGTATCGCGTACACTTTCTTATGCGTGGTACCTCCAACAATGAAATTTTTTCACGTGGGGATCGCCAGCCAGATGCCTGTGTTCTTTTCTAGGATCTCCTTTCCATCTTTCTCCCCAATTTTTTCACACTATTCTATACTCAGAGAACGTTTGTTTGGTTCATACTTTGTTCATAGGCTGCTCCTTTTTATCATTATTGTTGCTGACTCTCGATTCTGGTACTGTACTTTTGACTTGGTTTGGGGAAACCTCATGGAGCAACCTTGCTGAATCAGAATTTAATTTATTAGACCAAACATGCTGAATCAGATTAATTGGTCATTTGGTCCAATGTCCTGTATTCCTCAGTGATCCTGGGAGATCCAGAAGAAAGACACGGCATCCTAAATTGTTCTCCAGTGAGAATACATGGAAGCTATGCTGCCTCCGAAATTGTAGGCATCACGATGGGTTGCCATTAAGACTAGCGGTACACATGTGCCCCACTGAGTTCTCTGAGTGCGTTTGGTTGTTCGGTATAATATTTAAAAGCCTTCTAAATATATGGCCTTTGCTAGATCCCATGGCAAAAAATTTAGAATATATATGTATTCTGAAGACAATTGTTTATGTTACAATCTTTGGGCATTATTGAATATTATCTAGATTATAGTTTGGGGGCATTGTTGGTGGTACATTTGATTGGTTTGAATCTTTTCTGTCTTTTTATTATTTTGCAGTATTGTATAGTGGATTTTTATCCCAGGAATTTCCCCTTGTGGAGGGTGTCTCTCAAGGATCAGTCTTGGGCACTATTTTGTTTATACCCTTCCCTTGGGTGCTCTGATTCATGATCAGGGTTTCCAGTGTCACTGTTATGCTGGCAAGTCTGTCAGTCTTTTCTGGCCCTTGATAGCAAAGCATGGTCAGTCATAATGGAACACTTTATCAACATTTCCTCTTAAATATCCTCTCACTCCCCCATGCTGAATATGGACAAAACTGAGATTGTCATGTTTTACCCTGATTGCCATTCCAGTCCTTCACTGACTCTTCCCCCTATTTTGTCTTCAGGGCTGTTGGATTGCCTCAGTTTCTTCTATCTGCACCTTGGACTCTTGATTGATGACCAGCTGATTTTGTGCCTGTTTATTGATTATAAAGTCTTTTGATGAATGTTTGTAGAATCTGCCTATCTAGAAATCCATGCATGCAACAGCTGTGTTAAATATGATTGTTGCTTTAAGCTTCACATGATCATTGCAAAAATCTGTTTTTCCCTGTTTTTGCAGATGACTTTGATGAATTTACGTCCAATAATGATGATATTGTTCTCAGAAGTATTGCTGAAGATATTCGACATCGTTTGCCTGTTGAAGCAGTGCTCAATTCAGAGCACAATGCTCTTCAAAAAGTAGGTTTTGCTATTCAACCTCCCTATACATTTTGATGACAAGTGGTTTTTTGATGACAAATTCCAAATTCTTTGTTGACAAATTCCAACAGAAGGCAGAATATAGACCAAGATTTAAAGTAGATGTTTGTGCAGTAATATCTCCATGATTGTAATTATACTAAGATAATTTTTTAAAAATTAAAACACAAAGCATTCTCTTGCTTGGCCTTGTATTAAACCTTATCTTTAAGCTTCAGTGTTCTTCATTTGTAAAATAGAAGTATTAATGTATTGCTTGTAATTAGATGTTAATTCAGCTCTACTGTTCAATTGTCCATTACTTAAACTTTTAACATGAAGCATGACTCTAAAATAACTCTCAAAATGGATAAAAAATTAAGGTTTTTTTTTTCAAGAAGATCATCGAATGAGTAAGTTTTGCATGAATGACTGAATAAGAGAGGAGATAGTGGGAAGATTTGGGCTGCAGGGAGAAAAGAAAGGGAATAATGGGGAGAGAATATTTGGAGATGATTATGAATCAGAAAGAGAACCATGCAAATGAATTATTTTGTGCCCTAGGACTTAGACCCTCCACTTCAACTTTTATTTTATACTCTCTTTGGCACATCGTCTTGCTCCAAAAGGTTGTAGACCTAACGGTATAGTTGATTCCAGTAAATTATGGGTATTTTTTTTCTAATGGACCAACATTACTATTTACAGTATTTGCTTTGGAAAAATATTGAAATTAATTGGATAACATTCATAGAACAGGTGGAAGACAAATTATTATGTACTATCTAATGGACTTTACTCGTGAAAATTTAGGTAATATCAGCTGGTTTGACTAAAATTAATCTCCAGTGGCATGAGTGAGGGGGAGGCAAGGGCGGTCATCCTTAAGAAGTTGCCTGCAATTAGATGGTGAGTTCATCACTCTCTGTGTGAGGATTTGTGGTACTTCAGCAGTCCAAAGCCAGGGAGTGGGGAGATGATGACCAGATGTGAGTGTCTGTATTTGAAGTTGGGCTATAGGGACAATTTGGTGTACTGACTGTCTCTTCCTGAGCTCCTGGACCTCATTACAGGTCTGATGTTGGATTTTCCTTGGCTTATAGTGCTAAGGGACCAATTTGCATGCCCAAAGAGGTCCAGGAGCTCAAGAAAGGACAGAATCATTGCTTCTGCCCCCCCCCCCAGCATCCGACTTTGGAAGGGTGGCTGTTTGAAGTACCCACAACCTGTATCAGCTGCTATGTTGGCTCTGGATGGTACTACAGACTTGGGAGATCCCCTAGACTCATGATCACTGCTTGACTAAGAAATGGACTCCATGAGCAAGATAGCCTTTGCCCAGCTTCAGCTGGTGTCCTAATTGTGGACCTTTGTGGAAGACTTTGCCTTTGGTTTCTTATGACCTCATCACCTTGAGGCTTGATTACCGCAACATGTTTTATTACTTGAGGCTGCTCTTGAGGACTACAATACCTGGAAACTGCAATTTGTGCTGAATGTGACTACTTTCTTGCTGGCTGGTTAGAACTGCTTCAGTACTATGATAGCAGTGGTTCTATGTGGCTTGGCTCCCAATTACCTTTGGGACTATCATCTTTGAACTGAATTTGCCATTTTATGAGTTCAACCCAGGATGGAATATTTCAGATTCCCTCTCTCTGAGAGATCAGTGGGCTGGAAATCCACAGGCAAGTGGTAACAGTGGTTGTCCCATCCTTATAGAATAACCTCCCTAAAAGCTCTGTGCAGTCCCCTCATTAACTTTTAGGAGGACAATAAAGTCTGTTTGGTTCTGCCAAGTATTTGGGATTTAAATTGCTTGCTAACTGGGTTATTCTTCATTGTGATGGAGAATTAATTTAACTTTTTTTATGTGTGATCTGGATTTTTAAGTTAACGGGTTTTTTACCTGATTTTATGGAATTCTTTTGTACCTTTATGGTGCTTAATTCTTCCATTTTATCTGTGTGCATTTATGACTGTGAACTACTAGAGTCATTCAAGTATGGTGGATATAATTTCTATAAATAAATGATGCCTATTGAATTTCAGTGGAATATAAGCTGATGTGGGAGAAAATGCTGCAAATATTTATTGTGATTTTTCTTTAGCTTCATGAACAGACAGTACCCACCATTCATGTTGATGCTTTCCTTTATGATGATGACTGTATTGACTCATTATGTGAAGAAGGAAAGATGAGCAGAAATTATTGTGTAGCATGTGGCTCTCATCAGACAGCACCATTAGGTAAGCAGTTATGTGTTGTAGTTGCTTACAACACTGACCTGTGTATTCCTCTGCTGTACCTCCAGCTGACCATTTTGGGCTGGAGTTTGTGGGTATTTATATAACATAAGTATTATGAGGACTTGCCTGTTCACAAAACAGCTCCTGTGGCAGCTAAGCCCGTCACAAAGCCTCTTTTTATTGGAAGGCAATTGATGAGATTGTTTCTCAATAAACAGGCACTTCTCACTCTCCAGAAAGCTTTATAGTAATTCAGTATAACTTTGCATATATATTTTTTTATCATGTAGCAATAGAGTACTGGATCCCTTTTTATTTTCTAAGCATGCTGAAAGACTATGCTATATGTTTTTGCCTTATTGTGTGCAAGATTTCCATTATGTTTTTGTTTCTCATTATGAAATCTAAAAGAGACTCTGGTCACTAAGACAGAAAGCCCAGTAGGTGCCAAAGGCAATGTCAATGGGCACATTAGCACCTGCAGATACTAAGTTGCATGTTTTTGATCCAGTGTTTGTTCCTAAATCAAGTATGCAGTTTCTCATCAGCCTTTAGTCACACTTGAGCTGAATTCTCAGTTTGGGAAGGGTCTGCCAGTTATTAATCTATAAGGAATTCGCCATCTTAAAATTAATTAGAACATTTGGGAATGGAGGGAATTCTTGGGGGGGGGGGTGATACCACATTTCCCTTTTCCTTCTGCATTAAGCATATGCAGTCTAAAATCTAAACTGCATGTCTGAAGTCTTCATTCTTAAGAAAGTAAAGCAACATTAAATTTGAATATGCTTTAGCATTGGCCTTTTCACTGACCTCATCTCTTGCTATCATTGTTATGGTGTTATCTTTTGTAATTTTTGGTATGGTTTTATTCATTTATTTTACCAAATCTGGATGTTGCCTTTAATGAAAAATTGGCTATTTTTTTAAATCAACAAAATTAATAACATGCATGCTTGATATTATGAAATGTTATGACAAATGTGCATGTTTTTGGTGTGCATTCTCAGAGGACAGTAGATTCTTAGTGAGATTCTGTTTAACCATTATTCTTACCTTACCTCCACAGACCAACTAAATTTCTCTGAGTTCAGGAATCTAGTATAAAAATAGCTAAAAAAGAATACATTTAAAAGGAAAACAATCCCTCTATTACATTTACAGTTTGAGAACTGTTTAATTGGTTTGATTTTGAAAATGAATCTATTTGATCCACAGATGCCCTTATTTTTATTGTTAAAACAAATTATTATTAAGCACATATTAACCATATATAACTTCAGTGTTTCTTAATGGAAAAAAGATAGTCATTGATCATATATCTTCATCCTTGATTAATTGCCCACTTAGCAGTTTAAATAGAGCAGATTTTATTGGAACTTTTTGTGCGCGAAATGGCATAATTATCACATGCCCCACATTTACAGGGCATGAAGTTATACATTCAAGACATCCTTATGTATGCATTACATAACTCTTTGCTGGGGCAGTACTGTTTTAATGCCTGCAGAGTCAGATTGCCACAAAAACTATTACGAGCACCAAAACTAAAAAAAATTGAAACTGTAGAAGCCATTAATATTACATTTATACAGTGGAACCTCGAGTTACGAATTTAATCCGTTCCGTGACTCTAGTTGCAACTCGAATTGGTTGCAACACGAG